ATTTTAATTATTATTTCGATATCATAAAAATTGATATCGTATATGTAAACAAACATTTGCTTGAATTTAACTTGTATAATATTTTTAATGCATTTACTGGCATGGCAGTTTTGTATTTTTTTTTTTGTATTTATATTATTGTATACTATATTTTAGTATATATATATATATAGAGTGAAACGGAGAGGAAAAAGGAGAGAAATTTTGATACAGAATTATAGTTACAAAATTTTGAATATTGTATAACTATTATTATATTTGATTGTGATATAATCATATATTATTGTTATATTGTTGTGGCATTCTTGCTGGTATTCGAAAACTTTGAAAGAGAAAATTTACATACAATATAAATGTTGTTGATGTTTTTTTTTTGAAATTTAATATATTAATTTTGTTTGTTATTTTTGTAAGTTTTTATTTTATTTTTTTTTTTTTTTTGGGTTTTGAATACATTATTTACTTATTCATATATAAATACGTTGTTTATATATATAATATATTATATACATATTGTTTGTTTGTTTTTTTTTATATTTTTTTTTTGTAGCTAATTTCCTTGGACGGAAATGCTTATTATTTATTTTTATTACAATTTTTTAATTTTATTTTATTATATATATTTTTTTAATTTTTAATTTTATTATTAATTAGTTTTTTTGTTTTGTTTTCATATAGTTTTTTCATATAAAAAGATTATTGAGTTTTTTTTTGTTTTCTTTTTGGTTTGGTTTTGTTTAAATTGTGATATATTTTTGGTTTTTTTATTTTATTTTAATATTTAAATAATATATTTTTTGTTTTCAGTTTTAATTAAATTTTTATTTATACGAATCACATTAAGAAAAGATCCGGTTTGAATGAAATATACGGGAATAACATTTAATTATGAATATAAAAATGAAAAATTTTAAAAATCAAAATAAAAAAAAAAATTTTAAATTTTATTGATATTTCAAATATACCTTAACCCATTTCCTATACGATCTTTATTGGACGACTATATATAGTAATTAATAAATTAACAGTCAAAATAAATGATATATACAATTAAAAATATTTAATAAATATTTTTGAATTTAATTAATAAATTTAAAGAAAATTTCTAAAAAGAAAAATTAGTACTCCTAATATAGGTAATGGTTTAAGGAAATTCAATACGAAATTATATACCAATATATTATATAATAATAATAATTACTTGTATTTTTAATTTAAATATAAAAAATGTATTAATTATTAGGAAATTTGTACATTTTAAAAACAAATTATTATTGTTAATTCAAAATATTTTAAAATAATTAAAATTCGAATTAATTTTATTTAAAATAAAAAACAAATAATTTCTTTTTGTATTAAATAATTACAGTTATTTGAGAAATTGGTAGTTGAACTATATAAAAATTACGAATGCTGAATGAAAATAAATTGAAAGTGAATAAATTGAAAGTGAACAAATTAAAATTAATTATATGTGAATAATATTATTGGGCCTGTTTACACGTGTATATTCTATGAGCATACTATTTACATCTTCTCTTTTATGTTTCTCATACTTTCTCTTTCATGAAAAATACTAATTTTTTTTTTTGCAAGATTAAGGATGTGAGAAGCGCAAAGTAAGTGTTTGTTTATACGCTTAACGCATATACAAATGTTATAAATTCCATATCGAAAAATCGATTCATTAAAAATTCGATTCGGCAATGAAAAAGTTTTTAATGAATACGAATTCTATAATAATTATATAATTTCAGAAAAAAAAAAAAAACAAATTTTATAAAAATTTTGAAATTATATAACAGTTTCCGATTTTAATTAAAATTAATATTGTTCGTTTTTGTAATTGTGACTCGTAAAATAAAATAATTTAATATTTTTCTATATATCTTTTGTATTTTTGTTTCATTAAATATAATATGTATAGTATAAGATTTTATATATTATATATTTTTTGTTTTTTGTATTTTGTTCTTTAATATTTTCAATTTTCATTAATTTTTTTTTTTTGGTTTTTTTTTTTAATAATATTTAAGTGTTTTGGTTTTGATATCAATCGGATTTCTCGATTATGAAAAAAAAAATTTTTTTTTCTTTTTAATTAATTTTTTTGTTTTTTGGTTTCCATATACTGATTTTTTAATACTTATATAATTGTTTTCTTTTTTATTATTAAGTAATTTATTATTATTATTATTATAAATTTTTTATTTCTTTACTTATTTTTTTTTCTTTGGTTTTGATTATCTTTTAAGACTAGTTTATTTTTTTTTATTTAATATATATATGTATAAATGTATATATATATATATGTGTATTGATTTTTTTTTTGAGTTTTCGTTTTATTATAATTTATATATATATATATATATATATTATTGAAATCAGTTTTGACTAAAATAATCATTCTTTTTTGTGTGTTATTTGTTTGTTTTTTTATTAATTAATAAATTTTATATAATATACTCGATTTTTAGAACTTTTTCTTGAAATTTTATGTTTTTTTTTGTTTGTTTGTTTGTTTTGGTTTATTTACTGTTTAAATAACATAAACGGTGCTAAAAACTAATTTATTTATTAAGTTTTCTCGTTTTTTTTTTTTTAATTTTTTTGGATTTTTTAAATTTAATTTATTATTGATGATATTACATAGGTAATTTGTTTTGTGTTTGTTTTTTCTTGATTATTTTTTTATATATATAAAATTGGATTATTGAAGTGATTAAATAAAATTATTAAAAAAATGATAAATAATTTTTGTGTTTTTTATTTTTACAATATGTAGAATAAGGCTTTGGTTTTTATTATTATGAATATTATAATTTGATATTTTAGGCCTTTTATTTTTTTTTTATTTATTTTTTATGTAATTGAATTATTTTAATAAATAATCGGGAAATAATTTAAGGCAAATATTGTAGTTATTACATTTTATTATTTATGTATATATTATAAAATAAAATTGTGTAAAATATTTGAATTGTATAAGAATTCGAAAAGAATTTCAAAGGAAATATAAAATTTTATTTAACTCAATTTCAATAATAATAAAAATACAAAATTAGAAAAATAATTAGAATAGTAACAACGGATATGAACAGTAACAACGGAAGACAATAGCAATTATAAATTAATTGTAATTTGAAATTATTCAAAAAGAAAATGTTAACATAATTTTAACATTTTGAATTAAAATAGCACTCATGTATTTTGAAATTTACATGAAAAAATAATTTCAAAATAAAAAATATTTTTAATATAACTTTTGTAATTATTATTTTCATAATTAACTATTTTATATAACTATTAATTAACTATTTTATACAGTTATTTGAAGGGAAATTATGTATAATTATTAATAAACAGAAATTAAGTAATAGAGTAAATTGAGTAAAAAATAGCAAAAATTGAGTGATAAATTTTGAATACTCGTATGATAATTGGAATTATTTTAAATTTTGATTAGTTGAATTATTTATAAAATTTAGTTTTTGGTAATAGATATGTAGTTGTTTCTTTTTTTTTTATTGTATAATAGTAATATAGTGTAATACAGGAATAAAAATAATAAGTAATGAAATAATTCATAATAATGAAATAAAAAATTTTATAAGATGGCATTAATAAATAATTAAATTAATTATATTTGAATTATTATGATTTTTAAATTCCATAATTAATTAAAAATTGTTATACATATGAGAGTATAGGAAAAAATGATGAAATATTTTATTGCAATTAAATAAGAAATTAATTTGGAAATGTCTCGCAATTATAATTTGTGCATATGAAATATAAAATGTAATTTAAACATTATTTGCCTTTATTTTGTAATAAAAAAAAAAAACAATAGTAAAATAATTTTCAAAATCAATTTTTCGTTTTATTTACTTCAAGAATAATTTTTATAATAAACGAAAAGAGAAATAAATTACCTATGTAATTTACATAAGTACTATTCAGAGAAGTTGTTTTGTTTTTTGTTTTATTACTTAACTATATACTTTTTTTTTTAATTTTTTATAATTAATAATTATAATAATATGTTACTAAAATTTTTCCCTTTTTTTTAATTTTTTTTTTTTGTTTTTAATATTTTGAGTCCTTTGGTATAAAAAAGTTTTTTCTCTTTTTTTTTTTTTACTTTTTTTTGATAATGTTTTTGTTAAAAAACAAAACGATTTTTTAATTTATTATTTTTTTTTTTTAGTATTTTTTTTCTCTTTTTCTTTTTTTTGTAATTTTAATAAGAACACTATTAACATAATAAATATCGATTTAATGCCTTTATTTGGAATAAATGCATTGTTTATTTTTTTTTTTATTATTTTCATTTTTTTTTTCAATTTTTTTTTAAATTATTTTATTTGATTTTATTAGTTTTTTTTTGTGTATGTTTAACCCTTTTGATATACATAATATAAAAATATTAAGTTATCAAATTAAAATCAATATATTTTTAAAATTAAATAGAAAAATATCAAAATTTCGTCAAGTATCACAATTATTGCATACATATACATACATACATACATAAATTAAATTTAAAACACAGTAATATTTCATATATTTGAAAATGGCATTTTTTTTTATATAAATTGAATTTCATTATATCGAAATTTTTTTTGCGAAATAGCAATTATTTAATTATCGTCAAGGTAAACAAAATTAGAGTGCCATCTAGTTTTAAGTAGAAAATCACTATTAAAATTTTATACTGTGACGCCATTATTTTTACTGTGTCATACTTTTTACTTAAATTAATAAAAAGTTAATATTGAAAAAATTTCTAAATTATAATTTCAAAATAAATTAAAATATTCTTCTAATAAAATTTTAAATAATAATAATAATACAAAAAAAAATAATTTAATAATATTATTAATTGAAATTTTAATAAAATGGCAGTTTAAGTAAATTTTTGATTTGATATTTTTATAGTTGAATACAAAAGGGTTAAAAATTACATTTTTTTTTTTCATTTTGTTTTTAAAAAAATGTTTTATTTTTTTTTGTTTTTTTTGTTCTTTTTTTTGGTTTTTTTTAATTTAACTACATTTTTTTTTTGGATTTTTTTTTTCGTTTTTTTTTTCATAATAAATTTTACTTAAAATTTAGCATTTTAACGATTCTCAGTACTCCCAATATCATGCATCCTGTATTTCACCTTTTAGGCCAGGCACCCTATGGTGTTGGTTATGTCCTAAACGATTTGCTAAATCCTGTACAACATCACGAAATATAACTGTATCTATATTTTCACCTAATAAATACAATAAAAACCAATCGCCCATCTTTGATCGACGGACAATTATTTCAATAGCATCTCGACGCACTAACCTAAAATTTTTTGTTTTTTTTTTTTTTGTTACAAATTTGAAAAAAGAAAAAAAAAATATTAGTTTTTAAAGTAAAAATTAAAGAAATTTTGATTTTATTTAATTATGAAATTTATATTAAAAATTTTTGTTTTATACTTAAAATTTGTATAAGAATTGACAAAAAAAAATTATTATTTACCTAAATCGCATACGAAATAAATATACCCGCATTCGCGGTGAAAATATTATAACTACCCTGTAGATGAGTGTTAATGTCGTTAAGAATGTTAACAGGATAAACCAAAACCAAAGAAATATGTAAATTTTTTCATTAACAACATTTAACGGTAGAATACATATTGCATCGTGTTTTTCCACCTAAAATTAATCAAGAGAAAGAAAACGAAGCACAATTTTTAATTAATATTTAATTCAATATTAAAATAATAAAAAAAAATGAAAATAAAATGCTTACTTCTCCACTTGAACCGTATTTAAAAAATGTACATTTGGTCATCCTAGGGAATATATATATCATTGGATCCATTCGATCTTCTTGATCAGCTTCCATATATGCTATAACTTCTAAACCAAATGTCATAAATTCCCCATCGAAAAATCGATTCATTAAAAACATTTGACCTAAAAATAATTTTGAATGTATGAAACATATTGTACGAGTATTTTGCGTATTTTATAACAATTTATAATTTATTAAATTTAGAACTCTTCTAAATTAGATTTTAATTAACATTGGCTTCAATTTGAAATAAAATAATGAAATATCTTAATAAAGGCTTTTTTTTTTGAAAGGTTTGTGATGTTTTAATAAAAACAACAGCATAACAACTCGATTACTGGAATAATTTTCATTTAACCGTTTTTAATTAACTTCTCTAATTATAGCTTTTAATTTTATTTAATTTAATTTACTATGGAATAACATTATTGTTGATTAATTGTGAATTCTTTACAAGGAAGGTTAGATTCTTTAACTATTTGATTAAGATCACCTAATAAATTCAAATATTCAGATTAAAAATTTATTTTAAATGCAAATAAATCTTACTTCCTAGTCAATTGTACTAATTCCATTTAGAATTTATATCATCATAAAATATAGCACTAGTTTTTAAGAATGTAATAAATTTTTCAATATAATTTAATATTTTAATTAAATAAATTAAAATTGACGGAAAATAAATTGATAATATTTTAAAATTTTTACTTTTTTTTTTCAAATAAATACCTTCATAATAAACTAGGTTGAAATTAGTTTTCTATAATTTGTAAATCTTTTGAAATTATTAATTTATGATGCTATTTAAATTGAAATTTGCGAAATTAATTATTTTTTCTTATAAATTCGATATTTTTCTAGACAATCTTTGATTTATTTATCTTAAGTATATTAAAATTTAAATAAAAAAAAAAGTCGAATATTTTATATATTATTTTCATGCTATTTTCGTTTTGACATTATTCTAATTATGTCATTAAAATATAAATTATTAAAAGGAAATCAAATAATGTTTTAAGATCATTATAAGTAAAAAGTAATAAATTTTTAGCAAGTGATATAATTTATGGATAATAATTGGTATACGTGTAAAAAAATGCGATGAAGTATTAGAAATTATAATTTTGATAAAATTGCTCATGTTTCTATACTCGTATAATTAAACTATATATACTGGTTGTCTTGTATCAAAGTGTACTGCTATATACCATTGTGTAGAATCTCATGAGTAGACAAAACTTTTGTATGGAGACAATGTTCACAGCTCAACAGGTTCGTAGTTACAGGATCCAAATTCAATTTTGACTGATTTTTTTTTGCTTTTCAAAATTTTTAATATAACGTGCCTTTTCAACATAGGCAAATTATTAAATATGATATGACAGCCTCAAAATAAGGGCTTTCTTATAAATATCTACATTAGTTATAATCCGTTCAGAATTTGGAATCACATGATTTTATAGTTCGAATATCGCAGCTTGAGTTAAAAAATTTTATAGGATTCCAAATTTCCAAAATTTTTTCTTCACCATAAATTCTCCCATAAAATTGTCAACATTGTCTGCATACAAAATTTTTGGTTACTCATGAGGGCCTATACAATTATATATGGCAGTGCACTTTGATACGTTACATCCTGTGTAAATTTTTCCAGCTTTTCATATTTAATTCAATAATTTGGAAATTACAACAATTTATAATACATTCGAATTTTAAAAAGCAGAATTTTTTTACAAATTTGCTTTAAGTATTATACTAATATTAGGTCATATTAGTCTACAATCTTAGTAAGTAACGTATGAGCAGCTGATTGGTTTAATTCCGATTCGAAATTTGTTCCTTGTTCAATTTAACCAATGTAGCAATACGAACAAATTTAATTTTACATAATTTGTTTTCATTTACCTATTACATTTATCAGCGCTAATAGTTCGCACATATAATATCTATAGGCCCACCAATTGTGATACCTAAAAACGTAATAAAAAATTAATAAATATATTAAAAATTAATTAAAGAAATTTTAAATAAAAAAATTTTATATATTTTGTAAAAAATTTTATAAGATATCAAATTTCACAAATTTTTTTTTCACCTTAAATTCTCCCATAAATAATCTAGAAGTAATTTCTTTTTTTGTTTCTTTTCAGCTTCCGAACATATTCCTATATCTAAGTCCATAATTAGTGCATGTATTTTCCCACCTTCCCAGGATTTCCATAACCACCGCGGTGTATAGAATAATATTGCCTATATATATTTAAATAAAAAATAAATAATATAAGAAAAGTTTTGGGTTAGAAACTTTTTATATTCAGCAGAAAAATCATTAAAATTATTTTGTAATTTAAACAATATAAATTTTTCTTGTAATTATAAATGTATGAAATACAAAATATGGTAGATAGAGGTTGTTCTTAAAAATTTCAACCATATTAAATACTTATTTAAATATTATTTTTCCTGTGAAAAAAGAATGAATTTTATAGGGCCACCTGTAAAATCAGAAAAAATGAAAATTATTTTGTTTCACAGCCTGTACAGCATGATGGATAGGCTTTTTGTTTTGTCTTTTTCTTATTCTTGCATTATGAAAGCAGCAAAATAAATTTTTCCGATATGTTATTTTTAATATCGAAAAGAAAGCAGAAAAACAAATAAGAAAAAAAAAATATAGGTACAATTTTTTTTCTGGCCTTTTGTTTATGACGAATTTTCGACAATATTTATATAAGAAATTAGGAGCATCCACATGAAGATTGTATACGTCATAAATGGTTCCCTGACATCTCATCATACGAGACATTTCATCATTGTAACATTTCATCATTGTAACATTTCATCATTATAGCAATTCATCATTGCACATTTCATCATTATAGCAATTCATCATTATTGTATTTCATCACCATTTCATCATTGCATAAAGTGCATTTTGCAAACATAAGTACATGTAGGTGTAATTAAGCAATTAACATACTGAGCAATTTTGGCAACATGTTGAAGCAGTTTGCAGTTTTGTTGCATAGTGCAACTAATGGAACAAAAATTTAAGAGGATTAGGATGTAAAGTAAATTTGTACAGGTAATTAAATTAAAGGACATATTGGTTTCACTAATTTTGGTTACTTATCCTTTTTGCCACGTAAAGGATTGTCCCACAAACAGGCAATTTTGTTTTTTGTTTTTTTTTGACTTTATTTCATATATCTATTATCCCACAACAGAATTCATTACAGTAAAACACAAAGACATTACACATGAAACAAATTTAATGTCGAAACACACAAAAATGTATCAAATCACTTCTTGAAAATATTTCCAACTTTCTGACTCGCCAGGTGCATAGACTCCTGTAAAAAAGGGTTAATAATAAAAAATAACATGACTGACTAGATTAAGTTTTGAGTTTATGGTCTGCTACTGCAAATTAATTAATATTCTCAAGTACTTCATTTTATCCTCTTCATTGTAATACCCCTGTACAGCTGCAATTATCTTATCATTTAATTCCCTATACTTCTTCTTTTTTGGTTGTGGGCGACCATCTTCAGTGATAAAATGTTATGGTGATGAAATACAATAATGATGAATTGCTATAATGATGAAATGTGCAATGATGAATTGCTATAATGATGAAATGTTACAATGATGAAATGTTACAATGATGAAATGTCTCGTATGATGAGGTGTCTGGTCACCGTCATAAATATGCGTGGGAAATACACAAGTAGTAAAAAAATAAAATATTAGTGAAAAAAAAAAAAGTTTTTTTTTTGTCATTTTTTCGAGACACGCATAACTTATGAGTTGATGAGATGTCTTTTTTTGTTTTTATGGAAAAAGAAAATTGTTTGATTAAATTTTTTTTTTGGAAAATTTACTTTTTACAGTTTTCTATTTAAATATTATGTTTTAGTAAAGTATAAATAATTTGCAATATCATTTTGATACGAAAGAAACTTTTGATTAATTAAAATTTTTGAAGGAAATTTTTGAATATTTTGAGACCTTTTGGGATATATCGATTTTTTATTGTTCCTGATTTGCATTACAATTAAGTGTAAAAAGAGAGCACATAATATTAAAAAGCTTATTTTGAGTACACGAAATTATTATTATTAATAACTTTTAGAAAAATTGCATACTTATAGGAGTTGAGTATTACATTTTGGTATTAAATTAAAGCAATTTTAAAAATTTTTATTAATTTTATAGTTATTGCGTGTTTTTTGCTTTTAAAAATTTGCAAAAAATTTGATATTTTTCAAAGTTGCAATTGATGATTTGAAACAACAAAGCAATTGATGATTTGAATTAGTACAACAAAAATTTGATGTTGTTTGAATCAAAATCTTATTATTTTTAATATCTTATTAGTGTAAGCAGATGTACTTTGAGGAGGAGAAACGTTGAAATTATTGACTTTTTATACAAACTATGAATATTTTTAGGTTACATAGATTCTGGAATTGCGAAGAAAATGAAGGACATTCGACGCTGTACAGGTGGTTGTTACTTGCAACTAAAAAAAAATATATATTCAATACAAATTTTAAAATTTAAGCAAAGTATAAAAGCAGAGAACAAAATCGTTTTAAATTTCGAACAGGTCATTTTTAAAGTTATTTTAAAACTAATTTTTTTTATCATAATCTAATCCATAATAAATTTTGCAAATATTTCTTATGAAATTTTTAAAAAATACTATTTAATATAATATAATATATATAAATACTAAAATATTACTATATTATAATAATTCTCTAATGAATAATAAAGAATATTTTAGAGTATTAAAAAAAAAGAAAAGAATTAATACTATATTTTATACGTAGTATGTATGTATATAGTATAGAATTTATGAGGTCATAAAATTTAGCCCACGTAATTTTTTTTTTTTTTTGATAATTTTCATTATATAGTGTGTATATAAAGTTATTCAAACTGGATAATAAATCGGACCACTGGTAATACTTTTGTTTTAAACTCAAATTTTAAATTTTACAGAAGATATAAAAAAACGACTTTAAGATAATTGTTTTGATAAGAATCGGAATTTTAGATTTAATTCGATTTCTAATATAATTGATAGTTTTCAAAATTTTGAAAATAATAAGGAAGAAAAAGCTGGTCCTAAAGATAGATTTTAAATAAATTTTATTTAAGTATAACTTAAATGGAAGAATTTCTTATGCAACATTAGTGTTATGTTAGTAATATAGTGTTAATTAAGTGGATCCAACATTAAAATGTTTATGGAACGAATGGCGGGATGGATTTGTATTTAAAATAAACATTTTCAAATATAAGTAAAAATTCTAGAACAGAAAAGCAGTTTTTAATATTGATATTAAGTATATTATATGAAAAATTTCCTGGGAATTCACTCAAAAAGAGAAAATTCTTTATACTTTTTTACTGGATTATTCCCTATTCTTCTCCCAATTTATTAGCAATTATTCACTTTTATTGGCTATTTGTTTTAAAATCTAAATCTTAAAAAAAATTTATAAACATTTTAATATTTTAATTTTTTTTCTCGTTTTAAAATATTCGTTAATAATGAAAATAAATTAAAAAATAATTTTTTTTTTTTTTGGAATATATTTTTAAAAAACAAGTGTATGGTCTTTGACCTAAATATAAAATTAGAATAATCGTTTAAAAATTGCAATCAAAAAATTTTGACATACTTAAGATTATTGTGTCTGTTTTTTAAAAATTAAGTATTTAGAGTTATAAAACTGATAATAAATGTTTGCTGCTATGTAATATTTTGTGTTAAGATTTTAAAAATTTTTCAATTAAATCTAGTTTTATAGAAAAAGTTACAATACGATTAACATTTCATGTTGTTCGAATTAAATTAATATTAATAATTAAGCAATTTTATCAAAACTTTTTAAATTATAATTTATATATATATAATTCTGTTATATATAAATGCTATAATAGTTTTCTTTCTGCAGTAAAAAATTGAATAAACAAAAAATTCAATTCCATTGTTGACATATTTTTGACTTGACCTATCAATGTATATTATTTTTCTGTCATTCAAAGCAAAATGGTGCAAAAAAAAAAATAAATGCTTTCATTTTCTTTTGTTGACGTTTACACATTCTACATCTGTTTGCAAAATTTTATATTGCATAAATTTCATTCTATAAAGATATTGTTGCTATTTAAAATACAAAATAATATTACAACCTGATATAGATTAGGAACACTGAATTCGATTCAAAATCCAGGGGCGAGTGAATAAAATTAAAAGCGTCGGAAGGTAAAATTTTTTTTTGGGAAGCGCATAATCGGCAAAATCACAACATAATAAAATTTAAAGACAAATTATGCGAACTTCTTGAAAATAAGTCGGAAGAAAGGAATGACCGGTTTAAATTCTTTAAAAAGTATATGGAATTAGTATAAGTAGTTTTGTTGTCTCACCTTTAAAAAGTAATATCATATGGTTTAATATATTCTATTGGTAGAAATTAAAATATTAACACAAACTAAGATTTTAGCGTATTGAAATATTTTGTTTGAGGATTAAGGTGTCGTGATGATATAATTCTAAAACAAGTTACACATTATTAATGAAAATATCAAATTCTGCATGAAATTATAGTTATTAATAATTTATTCTTGCCACTCTAAACACATTCACATTTCTCTCTCGAATTGTATTTTTATTAATTTTCCATTACAGGCTCTTTTTATCAAATGGTGTGTAATTTATAACAAATTGCAGCATGAAGGTATTTCTGCTCTCAAATGATACAATTACGATACACATTGTATAGGTGACTTAAATATTTTTAAGTAAAAATATAAAAGCGCTTTGAGCAATTAAGTGAAAAAGAAAATACGATGTAATTTCCGAAAAATCCCAATAAATAATACTTGGGCATGACTAACTTATAAAACAAGGAATTCATGTTACAAAAGCATTTTAAATTTTGTTTTTTAAATTTTAATATTTATAATTGAAATTGCAAATTAAAATGAAATCGTTGGGGACTCTTTTACACGAACTCTTTTACGATCCGCCACTGAACGTATTATAATAATGAACGTTAAAAATGAATATTTATAGTATATAATATATGATATCTATATGTATATCTGTAATAAAATTTATTTTAATAGCTATATTTTAATTATATAAATATAAATATAATTTATTCGTTGTACAGATTTAATTTACGATATTCATTAATATCGTAAATAAATTACGATATATCGTAATA